CTCCCATCCTACATACACATGTTGAACGCATCAATGCCATCATCAATAAATCCATCCTTGATATACAACAATTCCATCCTGAATCAACCCTATCACCCTCCTTCTCCGTCAAATATGTCTCCTGGCACAATATCTGCTGCTATGGCTCCCACGAATCCTGGATCAACTTCGACAATCTCGATAATCAGCTCGTCACCATCTCCGCACCTAACGCTTTCGGTAAAAGCACCATCTTCAACGTCATCACCATCGCCATCTGGGGAGTTATCGCCTCCGATGAATCCTTGCGCAATATCTCCTCCAGTCTTATCAATGATCACGCCGATACCGCCTCCACCAAGATCGTACTACAACTCAATAATTCCGATTTCCTTCGCATACATCGCTCCTTCGCACGCAAAAACCAACAAGAAACTAAAACACTCAAAAAAACCGCTTGCGATCTCTTCCTATACAAGGCTTATGAATACCACAAGTTCCTCTCTGACCCTAACTATACACCCGTCCCTTATCTCGTACAAAAGAGCTCCTCTAAGGCCGCTAACAAAAAAGACCTTCTCCCCTCCCTCGTTGGCACTCTTAACCAATTCCTACGAACATCCATGATCACACAAACCAATGACTCCAACTTCCTTGACGTTAATCACTCCAAACTCACCGAACTTATCGATTCCGCTGCTGGTCTTGATAAACTCACTTCCATCGAATCACTCCTTAAAAACTGCTCCAATAAATACTCTGATATCCTCACACTCCTTCAATCCAATATCAACTCACTCCTTCATGATATCCCCCCTGAACTCTTACAACCACATGGTGATGGTGATGGTGATCTCGATTCTCACGCTTCCGGACCATCCGCTGAGCTAGCAGCTTCTAACTCGAATATGGCTGCCCTGTCCGTAGAGTTAAAGGAATTACAGAATCAATATGAATCTATCGATATCAATGTTCAACCCATCTTCTCACAGGGACCCTCTCACGTTGATGAATTCCTTGCTATCGATTGGCAACTGAAACTAGACGAATTCAATGCTCAACACCCTCACCTCCTTCATGTAGATTACAACGAACTAAATAAACAAAAAAACAACATCCTCTCACAACTCCTTGGCAGTGATCCTAACCTACTATATAAAGAATATCAGAATAACCCTACGCTGCTTGAAACATATAACTCCTTCGTTCAACCACCCATCAAGCCCTGCGAATGGTCCTTCATCGAAGAAGAGGAAAAATCACTGCCATCCAGCATCCCTCAGCAACCCTCTCATGATCTTGAATCTCTACAGGCATCCCTCAACGATCTTCAACAACAGATCAAGAACCATCATCTCACCAAACCCTCTTATACTCCCCCTAACCCCAACTTCTGGACCCTTGAAATTGACCTCGACACTGTCCAAGCACTCATCCTACAATCCTATGGCAGTCTTGATGACTTCATTGCGCATTGCTCGGTTCTCCCTGTGGTCCATAAACCCACCACCCCACGCCCTGATATCGATGCCATCACCCTCACCAAAGAAGCATTCCTCTCTCGCATTCAAAAACGTCAGGCAAAGATTGATGACTTCAAGGGTCAACTAAGAGACGCTGATGCTCGCTTCAACGAGGTTGATCAACAGCTTACCTCTCTTAACAACACACTTAGAGACCTCAATGCTCATGTCGTCTCCAAT